ACAATATAGGGAACCTGTCCAGTATATACGTGAGCAAGACCACCTCTCAACCTGTCCTGACACACTCAGGAATTTGGGAATACCTGAGCGACATGAATGTGAAGAAGGGGTCTCCGTGTCCTGCCAATCGGGGACCTCCAGTCTCTGTAAATCAGGTAAGCATGAGCAAGGCCTTTGCATCTCTGTCTCCTGGGGAGCCTTGCCACCGTGGACACCACAGGAGCTCAACCTACTCCTGACCCTCGCAGAGGAATACAAACTGCAGCTTGCCTGTGACCAAAGCCATTTCCTGGGGTAATGATCACACCCATGTGCAGAGGCCTTCATAATGAGGTTCTGAAAAGTGCTGCCAATTTCCTCCATCCCTCAGCCACATGTGGAAAGATCTGCAAGGTGAGTATGTGCAAAACAGCCCCTCTGTCACAGCACACATGCCCATAAGTTCACACACACACACCCACACACACACACATCTGCACCCACATATGCATCCTCACCATCCCACGCAGCTGTGCAGCCCTGTGCAAACACAGACATGAGTAGCATCCTCCTGTGTCCTGGACAACTCAAGCCCATACAGCATGATGGGAGCAGAGCCTGCATGTCCTGGCTACCATTCCTGTCAGTAGACTTGTCTGCACCATGCATGTAAGTCGCACACTTTGCTCCTGACCTCTTGACCTGCTCCCACGTGCACCTCCCAGAGTCACAAGGAGGACATGGCCTGGGAACTGCAAGACATGTGTGACCAGAGAGGCAGCCTGGATTGACGCCTCAAACACCGATGCAAGCAGTACCAAGCCGACTCTTCACCAGCTCTGGTAAGTAGCACTCAGTCATTTTCCTCATCGCTGCTGAGATATGCATGGGAGCAGCGCAATGCATGTTCTGAACAACATCGGCAATTGTCAGGGCCTGGAGAACCACGCTGTGAACAGAAATCAAACTACCTGACCCCCTTAAGGGTGAACACAACGTGCCAAATCTATGTGTGATCAGAATCTCCACACATGTACCGACTGTCCAGGGTTGTAGTCACACTCTGGAGGATGTCCATGTGAGTTGGGTCTCTCACAGGCAGACAGATTCAGGTACATGTGTGGCCTGCACGATGGGGATGTTAGGAGCACACTGACACCCCTTGTGTTGACCATTTTGGGCCCCTGCAGTGCCTGCTACACTGTAGATGACAATGCAGCCTCGCCCAATCCCCATCAGAGAAGGGATTTCTTTATAAAAGACCTCCACATCATCCGTATGGTCAGATCTTCGTCTCATCGGCACCACCACAGGGATGTGGAATTCTGTAAAATGTGCATCTTTTATGATACCTTGAGATAAAGAACATCCTGGGCCTCAGAAGAGTCCTGCAGAACAAGGACATGAACACCAGTCCCCCCTGTAGTGGACCTACCACGGATACAGTTGTGATTCCTGTCCAATGTCTTGTCCCCTGAGAACCCTATGAGCTCAATAACCAACTGTAAATGGGGCCCTCTCTATTGTAAACCTGCATCCCCCTGACCTGTCAGCCCTGCCTCAAGCATGTATGAAACCTTGTGCATTGTGAACCTGACCTCATGTTCCCATCATGTCCTCCCTACTCCCACTTGTCTGATGCTTAGTGCAATGTCACCATCATTTTAGTCACCTGTCCCATGGCATGGAGTCCAGCACAGAGTGGTGAGCACACACTCCTGTTCTGACTCTGCCATGAATGTGTGTAGCACCACACACCACAGATGTGAGCAGGGCCACTCCGCCGTGTCTTGATGACCTCAGGCACTGCTGGAGCCCTGCAGAATGTGGAAGTGTGTGCCCATCATTCATCTCCTGACCCGCTCTGATGTGTGTGCTCTTTGCAAAGTCAAAGAGAACACAGCACAGACATGGCATATGCCTCATCACCTTACATGCAGCCCCTTAGGAAGAGGACATGACAAGTGGTGCACCATTTCTGGACCAAGTGCAGACTCTGTGAAAAACCTCTATCACACAGTTTCAGCCAGGGAACCACAGCCTGCGCTCATCAGCCTCACCATTGTGTGGCCCTCCCCAAGTGAATGTGAGCAGGACCATGCCCTTGTCTTAAACACCACGGATATGCACTCAGCTCTAAAGCGAATGTGAGCAGAACCTCTCACTGTCCTGAACAGCTCAGGCATGTGTGGCCCCCTGCACGATTTGACTGAGAGCAGAGCCTCCCCTTTGTACTGACAACCTCAGGCCATGGAAGAGCCCTGGACAGGGTGGATCAGGACACAGCCTTTCCACACACCAAAATTCTCAGGTAAGTCTGGCCCCACTATAAAGAGAAGGCAAGAAGAGCCCCACATACTGCAGAACTCAGCATCATGCATGAAGCCTCCTAAAGGGTGGAGGCAAGAAGAGGCACACCATTTGCTGACAGACTCTCTCAGGTAGGTACAAGCCTTCAGTGACACAGAGGTGAGCAGAGCAGTGCACAGTGGTGCTCATCTCACCCATGTGGAGCCCTTTTCAACATGTAAGAGGCACACAGCGGCTCATTCCATCAATGCCTCAGGCCTGTGTGGAACTCTCCACCAGGAAATGGTCACCGTGTGCCCACACACACAAAGACCATCTCAGGTTCCTGTGGAGCCCTCAAAAAGTATGTGGGCGATGCCGTGTCTTGTCCAGACTACCTGAGGCACGGTTGCAGCCCAGATAGGCGATGATCACCTCTGCAAGTCAAGAACCTCACAAAAGGAGGATGAGAACTCACTTCCCCCTTGCAAACATCTGCTGGGATTGGGAGCCCTCTCCAAGGTAAGTGGAAGCACAGGCCTCATAACTTCAATCCATCAGCTACGTGGGACGCCTCTACATTATGCTGTGACAAATGTCCCATCACATCCTCACAAACTCACATGTTTGTGAGCACTCTACAAAGTGACTCTCCGAACAGCCTCTGCCAGCACCCCAGCTACATCTCACCTTTGATTTGAGCTGGCTTGCATCTGCACCTCCCTGGAGCAGTCCGGGACTCAACCATGGAAGATTCCTGTGGAGAATCTACTATGCGAATGTGGACAGAGGCCTCCACAGACAAAGAGACTGCACTTACAAACAATATAGGGAACCTGTCCAGTATATATGTGAGCAAGACCACCTCCCAACCTGTCCTGACACACTCAGGAATTTGGGAATACCTGAGCGACATGAATGTGAAGAAGGGGTCTCAGTGTCCTGCCAATCGGGGACCTCCAGTCTCTGTAAATCAGGTAAGCATGAGCAAGGCCTTGGCATCTCTGTCTCCTGGGGAGCCTTGCCACCGTGGACACCACAGGAGCTCAACCTACTCCTGACCATCGCAGAGGAATGCAAACTGCAGCTTGCCTGTGACCAAAGCCATTTCCTGGGGTAATGATCACACCCATGTGCAGAGGCCTCCACAATGAGGTTCTGAAAAGTGCTGCCAATTTCCTCCATCCCTCAGCCACATGTGGAAAGATCTGCAAGGTGAGTATGTGCAAAACAGCCCCTCTGTCACAGCACACATGCCCATAAGCTCACACACACACACACACACATCTGCACCCACATATGCATCCTCACCATCCCACGCAGCTGTGCAGCCCTGTGCAAACACAGACATGAGTAGCATCCTCCTGTGTCCTGGACAACTCAAGCCCATACAGCATGATGGGAGCAGAGCCTGCATGTCCTGGCTACCATTCCTGTCAGTAGACTTGTCTGCACCATGCATGTAAGTCGCACACTTTGCTCCTGACCTCTTGACCTGCTCCCACGTGCACCTCCCAGAGTCACAAGGAGGACATGGCCTGGGAACTGCAAGACATGTGTGACCAGAGAGGCAGCCTGGATTGACCCCTCAAACACCGATGCAAGCAGTACCAAGCCGACTCTTCACCAGCTCTGGTAAGTAGCACTCAGTCATTTTCCTCATCGCTGCTGAGATATGCATGGGAGCAGCGCAATGCATGTTCTGAACAACATCGGCAATTGTCAGGGCCCGGAGAACCACGCTGTGAACAGAAATCAAACTACCTGACCCCCTTAAGGGTGAACACAACGTGCCAAATCTATGTGTGATCAGAATCTCCACACGTGTACCGACTGTCCAGGGTTGTAGTCACACTCTGGAGGATGTCCATGTGAGTTGGGTCTCTCACAGGCAGACAGATTCAGGTACATGTGTGGCCTGCATGATGGGGATGTTAGCAGCACACTGACACCCCTTGTGTTGACCATCTGGGGCCCCTGCACTGCCTGGTACACTGTGTATGACAATGGAGCCCCACCCAATCCCCATCAGAGAAGGGATTTCTTTATAAAAGACCTCCACATCAACTGTATGGTCAGATCTTCGTCCCATTGGCCCTACCGCGGGAATGTGGAATGCTGTAAAATGTGCATCTTTTATGATACCTTGAGATAAAGAACATCCTGGGCCTCAGAAGAGTCCTGCAGAACAAGGACATGAACACCAGTCCCCCCTGTAGTGGACCTACCACGGATACAGTTGTGATTCCTGTCCAATATCTTGTCCCCTGAGAACCCTATGAGCTCAATAACCAACTGTAAAAGGGGCCCTCTCTATTGTAAACCTGCATCCCCCTGACCTGTCAGCCCTGCCTCAAGCATGTATGAAACCTTGTGCATTGTGAACCTGACCTCATGTTCCCATCATGTCCTCCCTACTCCCACTAAGTCTGATGCTTGGTGCAATGTCACCATCATTTTAGTCACCTCTCCCATGGCATTCAGTCCAGGCAGAGTGTTGAGCACACACACTCTTGTTGTGAATATGCCATGAATATGTGTAGCATCACACACCACAGATCTGAGCACAGCTACTCCACGTCTTGATGACCTCAGGCACTGCTGGAGCGCTGCAGAATGTGGAAGTGTGTGCAGATCATCCATCTCTTGACCAGCTCTGATGTGTGTGCCCTTTGCAAAGTCAAAGAGAACAGAATACAGTCGTGTCATGTGCATCATCACCTTGCACGCACACCTGTAGGAAGAAGACATGACAAATGGTACACCATTTCTGGAGCAAGTGCATACTCCGTGGAAAACCTCTACCCCACAAATACAGCCAGAGAACCACTGCCTGCAGTAATCAGCCTCAGGATTGTGTGGCCTTCCCAATGTGAATGTGAGCAGAGCTCTGCCCTTGTCTTAAACACCACGGATATGCACTCAGCGCTAAAGTGAATATGAGCAGAGTCTCTCACTGTCGTGAACAACTCTGGCAATTAATGGCACCCTACAAGATGTGACTGTGAGCGCAGCTTCCCGTGTCCTGACAACATCAGGCCCTGGAAGAGCCCTGCACAGTGTGGATGTAGAACAGCTATTCGACATTCCAACAGTCCCAGGGAAGTGTGGCTCCTGTACAAAGATGAGGCAAGCAGAGCCCCACATGCTCCAGACATCAGCATCATGCATGAAGCCCTCTATAGGGTGCAGGTCAGAAGAGGCACACCATTTGTGGCTGGATTCTCTTAGGTAGGTACAGTCCTTCAAGGACACAGAGGTGAGCAGAGCAGTGCACAGTTGTGCTTATCTCGTGCATGTGGAGCCCTTTTCAACATGTAACACACACACAGCGGTCCATTCCGTCAATGCCTCAGGCCTGTGTGGAACTCTCCACCAGGAAATGGGCACTGTGTGCCCACCCTTAAACCACCATCTTAGGCTCTTATGGAGCCCTAACGAATCTCTATATGCAATGCTCCTCCTGTACTGACAAGCTGAGGAATGGGAGGAGCCCAGCCAGGTGCTGATCACCCTTCCAAGTCAAGAATCTTAGACATGGATGATGTGAATACACTTCCCGTGTGCAAACTTCTGCTGGGATTAGGAGCCCTCTCAAGGTAAGTGGAAACACAGGTCTCACAACTCCAATCCATCAGCTACATCGGACGCCTCTCCATTATGTTGTGATAAAGGTCCCATCACATCCTCACAACCTCACATGTTTGTGAGCACTATATAAAGTGACTCTGGGAACAGACTCCGCCAATGTCCAAACTACATCTCACCTATGAGTTGAGCTGGATTCCATCTGCATCTGGCTGGACTAGTGCAGGACTCAACTATGAAGACTCCTGTCAAGAATCTACTATTCGAATGTGGCCAGAGACTTCCACACATAAAGAGACTGTACTTACAAACAATATAGGGAACCTGTGCAATGTATGTGTGAGAACGGCCACCCTTCAACATGTCCTGAGACACTCAGGCATTTGGGAACACTTGAGGGAGATCAATATGAAGAATGGGTCTCCACTTCCTGCCAACAGGGGTCTCCAGTCTCTACAGCAGGTAAGCATAAGCAGGGCCTTTGCATCTCTGTCACCTATGGACCCTGCCGCCATTGAGAGCACAGGAGCTCGACCTACTTCTGACCCTCACATAGGAGTACAACCTCTGCAGCTTGGTTGTGACCAGAGCCACTTCCTGTGGTAATGATCACACACATGTGCAGAGGCCTCCACAATGAGGTTGTGAACAGAGATGCCAATTTCCTTCATCCCTTAGCCACATGTGGATGACCTGCAAGGTGAGTATGTGCAAAACAGCCCCTTTATCACTGCACAAATGTGCATACACTCACAGACATCTGTACACACATATGCATCATCACCATCCCAGGCAGATGTGCTGCCCTGTACAAACACAGACATGAGTAGCATCCTCCTGTGTCCTGAACAACTCAAGCCCATACAGCATGATGGGAGCAGAGACTGCATGTCCTACTAACAATTCCTGTGCATAGACTCATCTGCACCATGCATGTGAGTAGCACATTTTGCTCCTGACCTCTTGACCTGCTCTCATGTGCACAACCCATAGTCACAAGGACGACATGGCCTGGGACTTGCAAGACATTTGTGACCACAGAGGCAGCCTGGAGAAACCCCTCAAATACCCATTTAAGCAGCACCAAGCCAAATCTTCACCACCTCTGGTAAGTACCACTAAGTCATTTAATTTCCTCATCGCCACGGAGATATCCATGGGAGCAGGCAATTGTCAGGCCCTGTAGAACCAGGCTGTGAGCAGAAACCAAACTACCTGATTCCCTCAAGGGTGAGGACACCTTGCAAAACATACATAGGACCAGAATCTCCACACATGTACCGACTGTCCAGGTTGGCAGTCACAATCTTGAGGAGGTACATGGGAGCAGACTCTGTCTCAGGCAATATGTGGCCCGCAGGACAGGGATTTGAGCAGCCCCTGGACCCCTTGTGCCTACCCTCTGTGTCAGTTTTAGTGCCTGTTACACTGTGGATCAGAATGGAGGCCAGCACATCCCATCAAAGCAAGGATATTTTTATTAAAGACCTGGACATCCTCTGCGTGGCTAGATCTTCATACCATCTGCACCACCTCAGGTATGTGGAATCCTATAAAATGTGCATCTGATGTGATATTTTCAGAAAAGCAACATTATGGGCCTGCACAGAGTGCTGCAGAACATGGACATGCACAGCAGTCCCCCAATAGTAGACGTACTAATGTGTCTGTGATTTCCGTACTAGGTAGTTGCTCCCTGATAGCCCCATCACCTTAGTAACCTGCTGTGTATGCGTCCCTCCATATATAAATGTGAGCATAGCTGTCCCTGCTACCTCACTTGTCATTGCCGTGGGAATCAAATAGGAAATCTTGTACAATATGAAGTTGACCTGAATAGTCCCCATATCCTTATCACCTGTGTAATGCCTTAAAAGATTTGTTAATCCAGCAGCCTTTCTCCTTTGTGGGCAATTCTAGAATGTCATGATCATTAAGCTCCCTGTCCTGACCTCCTCAGGAATATGTGGATATGCGCAAGGCTAGAGTTCCACATCCTGATGGCCTCATGCCTTGATGGTGCCTGGTCGATCATGGACAAGAGAAGAGACCCTCCAAATTGTGACAACTGCCAGTGTGTGTTACCTTTACAATGTCAGTGTGATCACAGCCCACATGTTTTTGTGTCATCATCATATAATGAGCCCCGTAAAATGAGAAGAGCTGCGATATTCATCCGAACTCAGGCCCCTGGAAAACTTTTCCAGTGTGGGTATGACCAGCAGCACCCTATGTGGTTATCAGCTTTTCAATGTGAGGAGCCCTCTTCAGTGTGAATGGAAGCAGCGTACACTAAGTTCTCCGGAGCATAGGTATGCATGACACCATCAGTAGGGGTTTGTGAACAGTAGCTTCTGTATAAACACTAACATCTCAGCAGTGGGTGCAGTGCTAGAGAGCACATGGCCTGCATTGTGTCCTCAATGTCTGGATGCCCCAGATATGGATGCAGCCCTGAACAGTTAGAAGGGGAGTAGAACTGTATCCCCACACTATGGACAAGTGTGGAGCCCTGTGTGTGGACCTGAGAATGTCCTCAGAGCCATTCTATCCAGCCCATCTCAGGTCCTTGGAGCCCTGTTACAAGGAGGAGGTCCTCAGAGCCTTCCATTTCCTGATCATTTTGGCAGATTCTGAAATTTTCCAAATCAGGGAACTGAGCACCACCCCATTGTTTTGACCACATCTAGTGCCTGAAGCCTTCTGTAATGTTGTTGTGAGCCGAGCAGACTAGGTCTGTTCCACATCTGGCATGTGCCACAGATGAGTGGTAACTCCAGTACCCAGACCCTTTCAGAAATGCGCAGAGCCCTCTCCCTATGGATACTCAATAGTTCTGCTTTTTTTTTTTTTTTCAAATAAGGTCTCATTATGCGGTTCGGGCTGGCCTTCAGTTCACTTTGTAGCTCAGGCTGGGCACAAACTCACAGCAATTCACCTGTGTGCCTCAGCTCCAAGTGTTGGGATTACACCACCACCCTGGCTTAAACACTTCCGTAAAAATCCTGATCATCTTCATGGTATGAGGATCCATATACAACATGGAGGTGAGTACTCTTCATCCCTATGTCTTGATCTTCTAGGGTGCGGGAGGAGTGCTGTACCATGTGGATGGGAGCAGGTACCCTCCAAAAAACAAGATTACAACAGTCCTTATCCTTCTATATCCTGGCCAAGAACCCAGGACCTGGACATGAGTAGAGCCTCCCATGTCCTAACCCTCTCAGGATATAGGTTGAATTGTCTACTGTGTAGTTGAGAGCAGAGCTTCACAATCAGGTGTTTGAGCTGGGCATGGAAGCACACTCCTGTAATCCCAGCACTTGGGAGGTTGAGGCAGGTGGATTGTTGCAAGTTCGAGACCAGCCTGGTCAGCCAAGTTCAATACTAGCCAAAGTGAGACCAAGGCCAGACTGAACCACATGGTGAGATGCTCTACTAAGATGACAGAGTTCTCTACCACCACATTCTGATCCTAGTTCGGGATTTAGCTCAGTGCCTACCTGGCAAACATGAGGTGACCTGTTCTATCCCTAGGACAAAAACAAGCAAACAGACTGGCAACAATAACAAAAGAAGATATACACTTTGGAACCTCTTAGTTCTGTCCCAGGCACTTAAGCCACCCTGCATGCAGGTCACTCCTCCCCAAATAAGACCAGCACCCCTCCTGGTGGCGGACCACATATCCTGTGTACAGAGTCTTTATCATGGATAGGAGCAGAGGCACACACCATGTTCTGACTATCTCAGGTGTGTGGGGAGCCCTCTGTAATGTGGATGTCCAGGATGGCCAGTCCTGATCATCATATTGTGTGGGGCTCTTTTCAATGAAAATATAGACACAGGACTCGTGTCCTGGTCATCTGAGGTGTGTGGAACCCTCCAGAAATGTAGTATAATCAGAAAGTCCCCATCCTCAACTCTGACTAGTTTTACCATAACAGAGCCCTGTATGCTGTGGCTCTGGATAGTCATATACCTCATTTTCTGAGTATCCCATGCAGCAGTGTGGGAATAGCTTATACACTGATGTGTGTGGATCAACTCAGAGCTACTGTGTCCTGACATCTCAGGGACAGGTGGGTGCTTCTCAGACATGGATGAGTGGAACATCATGACCTCAGTATGTCAGATATCTGGACTCTTCCCTAAGGTCAGTGTGAACAGAAGACACTCCACCCACATTTCTGGCCATCTCAGGTGTGTATTGATCCCTCTAAAACGTGTATATGAGCAGAGTACCCCATGTTCTGACCATCAAAGGCATGTGAGGAGCCCTCTACAACACAGATGTGAGCAGAGACTTCCACTCACTGAGTTTACCATCTCAGGCTCCACATATATGTGGATCTCAGCAGAATCTACCATGTGCTCATATCACTAGTGTCTGCAGAGCCTCCTACAACATGAATAGAAGTAAAGATCCTGAACTTTATCACCTGGATGTGGATCCCCTACAACACAGAAGTGAGCAGAGCTACACCCACGCCAATTATCGAAAGTACACAGAGAACCCTGTGCGTTGTGCCTATGAGCCGAGATCCCCAGGGATGAACACTCAGATGTGGGGGGAACCGTCTTCCAGGAGGATGTGGGCAGAGTCACCAACTCTCCTAACATTCGCAATCATTTGTGGAAGCTTCTGCAAGGTGGTTCATGGCAGAGGCCCCATGTCTTGACTGTCATTAGAGAGATCTATAAGCACCAACTAAACAAAGCACATGAAAGACAAAAAGCAAACAACTTCTGCAAAGAATACTGAGCTAATTTCATAGCCTAAGCTGTGACTGGTTTACTACCCTTGTATAACAAACTGTCTTTGTATCTGTTTAGATCATTTCAGCCAACTGAAGGATCATCTGTCAAAAATAATCTCAGGATCACAGGAGATCAGCTTTCCTGTTACACACATCACACACTGCAAAGCTGAGAAAAGGTGCAGAATTATTACTCTGGGACTGAGATGTAGGAAGGTGCCATGAGACTGATAGAGTGCCTGATCCATTTCAGAAACAATATCTCAAGTTTGAACCAGGCACAGCCTGAATTTGGAAGGTGAACCGAATACCGCCCTCTGTGCACTGTCATCCTACATGGCCAGATCTGGACTGATGGACTGCAGCTCAGGACACTGTCAATCCTCCTGATTTCAGCAAAGGCCTCCTGGTGACATCCTGTGAAAAGGTTCCATAGTGGAGCCCAGACACCTGTATGGCAAGTAGGCTGTTTAACAAACCCTCAACATGGAACCCAAGCCTGCTTCCAGGCCCAAGGGAGAGGAAAGGTGAATGTGCCAGCCAGAGCTCCAGCACGAGACAGCCCTGAGGCATGGGTGGCTCTTAGTTTTCTCCATTGAGATCTGCCTAAGACGCAGACATCACACAGCTCAAAATGCATGGATGTCAATGGTTAGAGAACTGTTTGGCTTATGTACCTTCATCACGGACTCAAGCACAGATCCCAAAGTATTTCTGCAAAGTCGAGGTCAACACTATAATGGTGGATGCCACTCACCAAAACACAACCACACTTAGATTACAGGGACACAGGGACACACCAGAGCCTACTGTGTAGGCAAGCTCTGTATCTTCCCAGCACCACAACTCTGCATCACTCTGACTTTACAGCTGTGCTTTTCAGCACTTCCCTGGGGACATGCAAGGGCCATGGTGCAGAAGCTCATTAGAGGACTCAAAGAAAAAAAGGCATCTGTGTATCCTATGGCCATTATACCACCTCCCACTGACTACCAAATGTAGACAAAAATGGGGTGAAGCTATCTGCCCAAGGTGACTCACTGGAGGAAAACACTTGGCTTAGTCCTAGAGCTGGCAACTCCAGAGCGCTGCCTACCACCCAGTGCACCTCAATGATTTGCACTCAGTGCTCAGTACTGCTGCCTTTATTCAAAAGTGCATATAAATCCTTCAGGCTACAGGAAGGTTCTTTTACAAATTCCCTAACCTGAATATGATTCTTATGGATCTGAAATGTACCAATAATCATAATTATGAAAGGAAAAATGATAAAAATAAAAGTGTTCTCACAGTATCAAATTTTAAGTTGTACTCAGGCTTTCTCTGCCCTGAGGCTTGATGCAAAACTGTGGCCTTCCTAGGCCACTTGGAGCCCTCACACTCGCCCACATCAGGCACCAGGCACGTCTGTGATTCTTGCCACTGACAACTGGTAGGAAGGAGGAGCAATTGCTTTTAGTAAAGATGCAACAATTCCAGTTAAGCTTTTCTCACCTTTTCATGAGAGCAGAAAAAGGAAAACTACTAACATGTCTTTGTAAGTGTGTAAGCAACCATCAGAATGAGTGTGTATTTGCAGACATTAGTTTGGCACAGCACATGTCCCTTCAGGCACTGTAGGAACAACTGGGTGACCACCAGAGCGTCCACCCCATGGAAGGATGGGCCATGGAGCACCACACAGCAGTTTGAAAGCAGAATCCCCATGCCACACCGAGACGCCTACCATGGTCAGCTGGAAAATCAGGCAATGGAGAGCCAGGGTGTAGCCTTGGCCTTTAGGAGACACATTTTTGCACAAACACAGAAATTTGTGTATCAAACACAGCGGGACTCATTTCCTGAACTGTGACTAAGAAGCAGACTTCTTTGTTCTTAACGTAGGCCCTTCTGAGCTATGTGAATGTCTCAACCAAGCACTTAAGAAAAATAACAATCAATTAGAATGTCTCAGCAGAAAGCTGAGCTCCCACATCAAGAGGCTCCAGCTCAAAGGGAGGATGGAAAAATGAACATAAGGTCAGATGTAGGATCTTCTGTTCATGGTGTACGTAAGATAGTATGAGCTGCACGGAATGGTACATACCTGTAATCCCAGTATGCAAGAGGCTGAGGCTGGATGACTCCATGGTCCACTCTCACAATTTGGATGGTATACCTGACAAATAAACATTCAAGGTATATAATGTGATGATTTCGTATGCATGTACATTATAAACTGAGTTCCACATCAAGTGAATGAACGTACCCATCAATATTCGATGGTTACCACTGGAGTGTACAGGCACTTGAGAGATACAGGCACTTTAGGCCTCAGGGTTCAAAAGCCCAGCTGGATGCTTGTGGCCTTCAGAATTCTCAATGTGGCTTCTGTTCAGCCCCTCCCTAAAGCACCCATGTGTACAGCTATACCTACATGCCTCACACATGCACACACCATCTCACACCTCACTCCACACCACACAGTTCCCAATCGTCCTTCACAAAGAGTTTTTCTTCAATTAATCCCAGCTGCACTGGGTTTTTTGTAGGTGTCCCCTGGGAACCTGTTTTGGCTACCTGGCTCCTATGGATACCAAGTTTCTGGCTCTCTTCACCTGCATCACCTCTCTGTACTGCTCTGGCATGAACCAGCTGCTTTGTCATCTTCTTATCCATCTTCTTATCCTGTCTATATAACAAGCTGCAACCACGTTGTGTCTCCTATTTTGTTCACTATTAGAACAATGCCCACACACAGGAGGAAACCAAGGAACATTTATGAATGAATGAAAATACAGAGCATTCTTACCATAGAAAGTACTGAAAACATGCAGCAGGTGACCAGGTTCCTGAGTCCAGTCGGCAACTACATAGTAAGACAGAAATGAGAGCTTGAGTGAGGACAGAGGCTGTGGGTACCAGGAGCCCAGGTGTCCTGAGGTCGTCCCCACGACCTGCCATGTGTGTATCACAGAACTCTTCCCCTCCTCAGGGCCTACCTCAGGAACTCGTCACCACATGCAGTGTACTTTTGCCTACTGGCTTCCGAACATGGGGCACAACCACAGCAGCAGCTGAACTGGCACTGGCACCAGGCATGTATTTGCACACAGCTGCCCTAAAATGCACATGCCCTTGGGAAATGCCTATGTGGGATTATCTCAGGACTCACACCTTTTGCAAGTGCTGGTGCAGAGCACATCCCAGTACCAATGCCTCGCTCCACCTTGCAGCTGACCAATGGCAATGCTAGGCTGAACCATGGCAGCACTGTACCTTTGTGCTAGATTGTGGTGGCATATCTGGGTGCCATCAGTTGCGGAGGAACTCCTCTGGTTTTCAGGGCAATATGGTCACAGGCTGACTCTGTGAGTTTGGCTGCTGGCATTCAGCTGATATCTAGTTAGTAAAAACCAGTGCGCAAAAGGACAGATGTTAAAAAAAAAACCCACGGAGTTTAAATATTGTTACAATAGTGCTCCTCACCATTGAAAGCATCAACGGTGTTACATTCACTGACACACAGAGGCAGTGAAGATCTGTCTGCCAGGGCTCCAGGTAGGACCTTAGTCTGTCTCCTCGTGGAGGGGAGGAGCTATGGGGGCAGCTCAGAGGCACTATGACAGCAGAGCCAGACAGCAAAGAACAACCCTCTATTTCGTCTTCAGCACTTATAAATCACAATGTAGCTGGGTGGGTGGCAAAAGTCAGCAATTCTAGTTGAAACAGAAGGTGAAGCAGTAGGATGACAAGTTCAAGCCCCTACTGGGCAAATTTCTAAGATCTTGTCTCAAAATAATAATAATAATACAAATAAATAAATAAAATAGTAAGGTACAAGAATTAGGAATGTAACTCATGGTGGCTTGTGTGACAATCTGACTTAAATTCTGAGCACTGGAAATGGAAAGAATTCCTGGCTCCTTCCTTAGATGAAAAGGACAAAAAGAGAGAAACACAAGGTCTGGTTTATGGCCTAAGAGTGCTGCTTCGGTGGTAAAATATTGCAAAGCCATAAAACTAAAACCATGCCTAGGACTGTCACCCTCACATTTAGGGTTATCTTCTTTCTGGGACCAGTGGGTTCTGAAAGAAGCAGCTGAGAATTTGAAATCTGGACAGAGATTCTGACTAGTTTAGGGGTCAGTGGACAGGAGAATGTGGCCCCATCCTTGGATTCATGGCAAACCTGGATTTTGGTGGGATAATTTAAACTGGAAGTAGACCACTCCTGAGGAGCTTCATGAAATTCACGTCAGGTTCTAACATTACATTTTTATGAGTCAGCATTTATTAGTGGTACCAAAGCGAGCTAAGTTAAGAAAAATCAACTTCCAGGTGATATTCGAGGGCCCAAAGTATAATTGCTTATGGATTATACCCAGGAGGCATAGAAATTATCTGTGTATCTAAGAAGACAACAATTTTTTGTGAGATAAAAAATTTCATTTATGATATCAGTATGATATCAGTGGCTGTGATATCAGTATGTAGGGCAGTCTAGCTTCCAACTTAAAATCTGTCTGCCTCAGCCTCTCAAGTGCTAAGAACACAGGGGTATATCACCACATTTGGTGAAGACAACACTAAGAAGTCAAGACAAACAAATTAGGTTTTCATTACACGTTGTATGGGTGACCTATTCACCCATCCTGAAACACTCTGCTTTCGTGGGTCATGAGAGGTAGCTCCAGTCACTTGCCAATGTGAGGTCCAATTCTCAGGGTCTCAGTGTCTGCAGGGCCAGTGGCACATGGCTCTCCTTGCCTAGCCTGTGATCCTGCACAGTAGGAGGTCCGGCTTCACTCCACAACCTGGGGGTATTCACCATGTACCTCTCTAGCATATTGGGTCTTCTGAGGGCAGAGCAGTCAGCATTGCAGATATGACCTACAGCAGAACTTTGTTTTACATGCACACAACCCAGAACTCAAAATCAGCTAGATGTGGTGGTACATAACTAAAAATCCAAGGTGAGGCAGGAGCGGGCCAGTGCGGGAAACTTCACAAGAACTGCCTGTTCCAGGTACATGTGAGTGCCCCCATGGCTTCAATCCCCAGTACTGAAATCATTCAATCAGATACCTAAGGTACCAAATAAATTGTGGTGGTCATGTATTAGGTGACATGGGTGACCAAGAAATCCAAAAGCATTATCCAAGAGAAACAATGCTCCTCCATATTGGTAAAAGACTTCACTCTGCTCCACTTCCACATCACAAAGAAAAGCAAACCTTAGCAACCCAGAGCACTGTTACCCATCCCTTGCAGAAGGACAGTGAATGAGGTTCGGCCCTATGTCTCTGCCTCTGTCTGTCACATGTCTAGGCTAGAGCTGTGGATACATCAGGACCCTAGTCTGTGACCATCCTAACACAAACACGGTCACTCAGATACAAAAAGGATTCATTTCTTTGTCTGGAGGAGGAGGGATCCCGGGTTCCTGAGGCACCTCGCCCTGTGCCCAGCCGCGCCTAGCCATCAGTGTGCAGAGGAGGAGCTGCGCGGATCCGGAGCGCCTGCAGAAGCCCCTTCCTTTGTCTGGAGGAGGAGGGATCCCGGGTTCCTGAGGCACCTCGGCCTGTGCCCAGCTGCGCCTAGCCATCGGTGTGCAGAGGAAGAGCTGCGCAGATCCGGAGCGCCTGCAGAAGCCCCTTCCTTTGTCTGGAGGAGGAGGGATCCCAGGTTACTGAGGCACCTCGGCCTGTGCCCAGCCACGCATAGCCATCTGCGTGCAGAGGAGGAGCTGGGTGGATCTGGAGTGCCCGCAGGAGGCCCTTCCTTTGTCTGGAGGACTGTGGATATCTCTGCAAGCAGGGAGGGATCACAGGCTCCTGAGGCACTGCGGTCTGTGGTGAGTACCCTAACCCGGCTGCGATCCAAGAGCTGTGGATCTACCAAGGGGCAGGTGGGCGCACAGGGTCCCTGAGGCCCAGCTTGTCTGGAACCGCGGAGTTCTGAACAAGCAGAGGAGGGCCATTGGTTCTGCAGGCCCAATGGCCTGGGGTAGAGTGGTGCCAGAGTCTCAGTAGCTGCAAACATAGAAGGGGATTTTCAACAGATCCTGAGGAGGCTTTCAAATAACACTTGAAACACAGAAATATAGGAAAATGACAAAACGAAAGACCAAATTACAACCTCAAACCTCCAGCCCATCTCAAGAAACCCTAGGAGTGATGTATACAGAAGAAAATATATCCCATCCACCTCATATATCGGACACAATCGCTACTGAAATTGACAAGCAACTCCAGGAAGCTTTAAAGAAATTCAAACTCGAAATAATCTCCCAGATAAAAGAAGAAATGATAAAAGAAATGAAAGAGATTCTAAATATATCTAAAGAAAACACAGATAAAAAATTGGAGGAACTAAACAAAAAGATAGAATCCCTAGATGAGCAATATAAGAAACAAACAGAATACATAATGCAGATGCACAGAGATATACAGGAAATAAAAAACTCCACTGAAAGTTGTAAAAACCGCCATAATGAAAGTGAAGATAGAATTTCAGACCTTGAAGACAGGATTGCAGCTAGTGAACAGGAAAGGAAAGATATTTTAAAAATAACAAGGAATCAGGAAACAACAATTCAACAACTGCAAGATGATGCAAAGAAGAATAACATAAGAATGATAGGGATTAATGAAAAAGAAGGAGACAACATAAAGGATATCAAGAGGATATTTAGAGAAGCAATAGCTGAAAACTTCCCAAGCATGAGATCAGAAACTGACATCAGGATCAGTGAAGCATATAGAACTCCAAATAGTCATAACCAAAATAAAACTACACCCAGACATATAATAATCACCATCCCAGAAATCCAACACAAGAATAGATTATTAAAAGCTGTCAGAGAGAAAAGACAGATCACTTATAAAGGAAAACCTATCAGAATCACAGCAGACTTCTCATCACAAACAATAAAGTCAAGAAGAGCATGGAGTGAAGTATTCCAGATCCTAAAGCAAAATGATTTCCAACCTAGACTGATATATCCTGCAAAACTATCATTTAAAATAGATGGTGAAATACGATACTTCCATGACAAAGAACAGCTGAAGAACTTCATGAACACCAAACCAACCCTGCAAAAAATATTGAAAGACAGTTTAGGTACACAAAGGAAAAAACCACTAAGCAAAGCAAATAATTAAACAGAACAGAA